AATTAACAAAAATAAAATTAGTTTATTATAAATTCACATATGTACGTGGGCCTTAAGATGGTCATCCAAAGCACTCAATTCAGAAACCAAAGCTTGCTCTGTTCCATCATTTGAATCCTTGCTCTTCAGAAAAGACATAAAAGACCCAAATATCTTTGATCCCCTGCAAATGTATTCATATTGTGTAAAGTCAAATTCAGTACTGAAGAACAACTCTCAATTCAAATAATATCTCCTAAAAAGATTAGAACACGACATAAGCTAAGGACAAAGAACCCTTATTTTTTCTATAGTTAACCTAAGAAAAGGAATGGACAAATAACAAGTTACTGATTCAGAACTTTTCTATAACTCTTTGAATTTTGACAATCCTCATTTTTCTTGGTTTGTGTTTTGAAGGTATTGCAAGTGTGAGATGCCATATAACCCGGATGACCTCATGGTACAATGTGAAGGGTGCAAGGATTGGTAAAATCAGTGTATTCTGCTTTACTTTGTTTGCTCTTATTGAGTTTGAATTTTGTATCTTTTTAGGTCTTTGTTTTGTTATATGTGGTTTTTAAGTGTTGGGTGTTGTTTACTGGGTTGAAGGGTTTATATGATTCCAGCACGTGCAGAATGAGTGGCTGAAAGGGTGTTAAGAGAGTTATAACCTGTAAGGTCAATTTTGGTAGTAAAATGAGAAGGGGAATGGTTGGGTCAGGAAGAAGCTCATGGAAAATGGAGGATGTTTCCTCGGGCCCAATAATGTTATAAATTTCTTTTAAGTATAGGTTATTGTAACTCTATTTTGGCCTATGCAAGCTTTTGATAAAAAAAAAAAAAACTAGAAAGAAAGAATTAAAATATTAAGGAGTTTCCATTTACTTGTGAGCTACTCAGTCAAAAATTCATTGACATGAATTTTATCACTGGCTGAAACTGCCATGTGTTTTTGTGGATGTTGTTATGATGACTGTGTTCCATAGCGTCTTTTTACCAAAATTTGTCAGTGAATATTAATTAAATGATGCAGAGACTTATTCTTTCGGTCAATTGGTTTCACAGTAGTGGGTGAAACTTAGCTTTGATATGTTTTTTTTTTGTATCAATATCAATGTTTATATAATTTTGCGGATGTAAATTTTAGTGCATTCATGGATCAACTCTAACTTTGTTGACATCACTTTTCTGTTAGTTGTGAAAAAGTGTTAAATCTAATGAATGCAGAGGCTTATATGTTTTAAGAACACATTTTAATCTTTATGGATTTCTTGTAGGTATCATCCTGCCTGTATGGGCATGACTATTGAAGAAGCAAAAAAACTAGACCATTTTGTATGTTCCGAATGTTCATCTGATGATGATATGAAGAAATCTCAAGCGACATTTTCTATATCACCGGTACCTGATAACAAGGTGACTTCTTGCATCCCGTACTGATTAATTACTACTTCACTCTGTTCTTCCTACTTATTGTTCCTAGCATATGACTCGGACATTAATTTTGTATTAATTTGTTTCCCCTTGGCAATGACATGGAGGGGAATGGGGACACATTGCTGTGGAAGGGGTAGCTGGTTTAATATATGGTGTAGCATTTAGAGTTTGATGAAGAAATATATATATATTTTTTTAAAAGAAAAAACCCTTAGTGCAGCTTCTCTTTCATGAGTTAGCATAGATTTCTTCGTTTTAAATACAGTTGCAAAACCAACAAGATAATGATGTTTTTTGATCGAGACATGAACCAGGCATGTGTAGTTCATTTTTGTTTTTCTGCTTTGTTTTCCATATTTATTTCCGACCCGGACAATTTTAGGGGTCTACACTTTCACATTCACTTCTTCATCAAAGATCTTTCCTAGTCCTTTCAAGTGATTTATTATGTGAGTGAACCTCTTTTGCATTTCCATGTTGGTTTCTCCTTGTGTCATTCTAAATGTCTCATATTCTTGAATGAGTGTATTCTTCCTTGCACGCCTTACTTCTAGAGTTCCTTCATGAGTGACTTGTATTAAGTCTCGTGCTTCCTTAGTTGTACTACAAGTTGAAATTCTAAAAATTCATTAGAATTCAATGTAGAATGTATAATATTTAAAGCTTTTGCATCATTTTCAGCTCTTCTAATTTCACTCGATTCCTGGCTATCAAAAGGTTTGTCAACACTTTTCCCTTTTACATTTATTGTAGGACTTTTGTACTCGGTAATTACAGCCTGCCAAATACTCCTATGAATAGATTCCATAAAGATTTCATTCTCACTTTCCAAAAAGGATAGTTATCACCACAAAATAGAGGGGTTTGTTTATGGAGGCACCTTCAACAAAAGGTAATTGATTACTAGCCATTCTAAGGGTTTTTAGGATCTAACTTGTGTGATTTAACAAATTTCAGCTCTAGTACCATTTATTGGTCCCAAGTAGAACACAAATAGATTCTTTGCTTAGATGGCTTCTAATGGTCTTTCTTGCTATCTTGCTAATTTCTTTCTTTCTTATACAACTTTTTACTAATCACATTCAGATTACGAACCAAACAAGATACAAAGTATATCAGATTTATTACATAGCAGAATAAAAGTTGTAATCCAAATTGATTTTAGTAATTACCTTATTTCACTTGATTACTAGATTGCGTATATCATATCAATTTTCACAAGTTGTTCGAACATATTGATATTTGATTTCACAAGATACGAGAATTGATAATTGATAAATAAGTGAAGATTAATTATTGTCGAATTGAAGAACAAGTAGTAGATATTTTTACGAAGCCCTTGAAAATTGAGTTGTTTTATAAGTTGAAGAAAATATTTATAACTATACATGTTTGATTTAAAGGTGACAATGTCAAGAAAAAAATAATAAAATCAAGCCGCATTATTGCATGGCAACACCACCCCCAAAGTAATATTGCTTAGCCATCAAGCTCTGGCTTATTATTTTACAATAGCTTGCTAGTAGTAAATTTTTTACCCCCTAAATTTTCTTAAGCTTTAAGGATAGGCTTTGATTAATATTTATTAGTTTGTAATTGCCTATAAAAGGCAATCAATGTATTGCAAGTTTGAATTAATCCATGTGAATCAATTAAGTGAATTTCATATACTTTTGTTCATTCTCTCTCTCATTTTTGTTGTGCATGAGTTGTGAGTTTTACTTATAGTTATCCTATTGATAACAAGACCTAACCATTTTCCCAACTATATTGCAGAAGATTTCAAGGGAATTCTTTTGAAGGTCCAATACCATTATCATTTTCCAACTTGACAAATCTAGTGGAATTGTGAGTGTACAAATTACTTAAATGTTTCTTTTTTATTTATCTATGTACTTAACAAATTTTTTTATGGTACACCAATAGGAAGATAAGTGAATTATCTTTGCAGAGCTTTTCATGGGATTTTATGCAAAATTTGAAGTCATTAACAATTTTGTAAGGCAACAACTATGCAATTAAAGACATCCCTTATATTTTTGTCATATATTTTTTGTTGTTTATGTTATAATATGACATTTTTTTTTGACAATTTTTGCAGTGTGTTAAGGAACAATAATATTTCTGACACAATTCCAACCAATCTTGGTGAATTTAGAAATTTAACCCAATTGTAAGTAATATACCAAGAAAATTGAAATCTTTAGATTTATATTAAATTATTTGAACACTTTTAATCTCAATTCTCTCAAATACCTTTATAATATTTATTGTTGTTGGGGTTGAAAATAAATTTTTAAAATTGACAATATGAAAAATATTGGCATGTGAAAACATGTAACATGTGGTAGAATTAGGATGGCTAACATGTGAAGGAAATGATGCATAAAAAATACATTTTTTAAGGACAAATTTGTTTATGTAAATATATGATTGCTAATACAATTTGATTCAGATATCTATACCAATTAATTTTTGTTTGGCTTGTAATTAATACAAGTAACTAAGATCTTAAATGTTACTTGTTTTATTTAAACATTATTTGTCATTTCTTATTTCATGTAATTGATATATGTTTTAATAATATCTTTTGGATAATTTTTTCCTTCTAGATTAGAAAGCATGACATAGTTTTTTTTCTTCCAGGGATTTAAGCTTCAACAACCTAATTGGACAGATTCCAAACACACTTTTCAATTTGAATTCACTTTCTTATTTGTAATGTGCCTTGATATAATTTGATCTCTCTCTCTCTCACACACACACACACACACACACACACACACACACACACACACACACACACACACACACACACACACACACATATATGATTTCATTTTATTCAAGGTTTTCTAACAGTATCCATGCTTAGGTTTCTTGGTAATAACAAACTAAATGGTTCAATACCTTCCAAAAAGAATGCACTCTTACTCAACATGTGAGTATATTTTTCAATAAATCAATTTTTGTTTCATTGAAGTAGGAAATTTCTAGTAATTATTTTCTCTATAGAAGTGGTTATTATTATGCAGGATGATATTCAATGAATTGGTATAAATGAGTGTCATGCATGTTTTCTTATGTTGATTTTGATGCATATTATAAATTCTAATATTTTCTTAACCATGGTAAGTATTAAAGAGAATCAATAAGATTTAATCATGTATATATAAATACACTCATTCAAACACATTTTTAAAATTGAAAGTCAAAGTCAAATGCAAATACAAATGAAACTCTTTTTTACTGTACAAATAGAGTATCACTTCTTGGTGAATAACTAGATAGTAATCTTTTCTGAGACATAAAGATTATTAAAGTGACCTTTACTTTTATGTATAACTTATTTGACTTTCCTGTGTGTTCTCCTTTTCTAGCATGATATTTTAAATCTATACTATCTTGTTTGATATAAACCTTCAAGCTAGCACAAGACAAATAAACAATGGCACAATTTAGAAAAACTACATGTTAAATGTCCAATAAATTTAGGTTTAGGTACTAAAATTTAGTAAAGTGTTGAATCATCTAGAGAAAAAAACTAAAACATTAATTAAATAAGCCCAACAAATACAAACTTATCAATTTTAAAACAATTATAGATGCATAAATTACATAAAACTATTTTTTATAATATTCTCATGTAGTATAGAAAATCTCAAAATGGATATCATTTAATATTTTTTTTGTAATCCATTGGAATGCTTGCATCAACCATTTTTTATTTGCATTCAAGAGAATGTGGAGCTCCATATGATATATTTTTCTCTAAACAAAATGTTCCAAATACAATAACATTATCATTGATTATTATGAAACAAAAGAATCTTCAAGCAAAACATTTTAAATTGAATTTATAATGGGAAATTTTTATTTTTGTCTACTTATATTGTTCATTAAATGATTCTCTTTCATGGGTATTTAAGAAGATGAGAGGTTTATTGATTTTAATGTAATTTATATTTAAATTTTGTTTTAATTTTTATGATAAAGTTGTTAGTTTTCCTATATGAATGCTATAATGAACCACTTTGATAAGTTGTGTACCATGTACCATTTTTGTATAACCCCTATGATTATATATATGTCTTCCATACTTAATTATTCCTCACTTAACATTTTTCTACAGCCCTACCCTTGTTCTATTTCATGGTCGCTCACCACCGATACCCCTCACTCATCATTGGCTTTTGTTGTCAAAAATAAAAAATAAAAGCTTAAAATTGCAAGCACCTAGTCCCAAAAAACAAGTCATGACAGTATCATTATTTTTTCTCATTTGATTTAAAATAAAAAGCAAGCTTTAAGGGAAAATAAGTAGGGGAAAAAGTGTTTATTTTATATTCAGACTTAAAGTGCAAAATGATAGAAAAGAAATTAGAAGAAACATACAAAGTTGAGGGACTGTGACTTAAAGTGACTACAATGAGAGATTTCAAGTGCGAAAGGAAGATTTGGTGTTAAGAAGTGTCAAATGAAAACTCCATCAACAATAGTCATTAGGTGAAAAAATAATAGAGGTTGCTCCAGGAGTCGAGGTTAGGTCTAAGAGGTATTACACTAACTAAAAGTCATGGATAGACTCAATTGACATTCGTTGCGCAATGATCAAGATGACGAATGATCTCTAATAGAGGCACCAAGAATGAAGGATGTGAGAGAGCACAATCAATTATGGTGAAAATATGATATGAAATATGAGACATGTTTAATCTAAAGGTTCTAGATCCTTGTCCACCATGGACCACCTATCAAGGTGGTCCATCCTAACCTTACTTGTTTTCCTAACTGCAAACTAGTTTAATGTTTCTCAAGATTTCAAATTGTTATTAATTTTTTCTAACAAAATAGTTCAAAAGTTTTATGATAGTATAAAGGAATACATTACCTACTTATCATTGTCTTCATCTCAATATAAATGTTAAATAAATAGGTAAAAATATTTCATTTAAAACATATATTGATACTTTTAACAATTATTTTTTCAAACATACTAAGAATGCTTCTTTCAAATTTTGCATTTGAATATATACTCAATGCCTATATATGATATTATAGACTATATAAAATGTTAGTTTTCTTTGAGTAATCAAATATGATATGAGAATGAGTTTAATTTAGATTTAACTTAGTGAAGAATATGACAACTTGATTAATTATTAATATTTTTTAATATTTATATTTAGTAAGTTTATATGTGCTTTCAGGGACTTATCATATAACAACTTAAGCGGGAGTCTCCCTTCTTGGGTCACTGAACAAAATTTGCAAATGTATGTATTAAACATTATTTTTTCATATTTTTTTTCCTTGATAATATATATTCCTCCAAGTTTTAGTTTAACATTAGTTTTGAATAATTATATAAAATGTGTCACTTATTAAAATGTGATATGCAGTAATTTAGTTGGCAACAACTTTCAAGCAAAGGATATAGAGAACAGGTGAATTTTTTTTATATTATATCATTACGCAAATATTTAAATTAATCATGATAATAGTGTTAAATTTCGCTTACTTGATACTTTAAATATAAAATTTATTTTATTTTAGTGTTGCTATATATATATATATATATAATCATGAAAAGTTTATTTAACATCTTAATATGTCTTCAAAATTTACTATACCTTCGATGTGAATATGAAATTAACTTTTCATATGTAATATTGTTTGTAATTATAGTAATTTTCATGATAATATATTAATTATAAGAACTTTGAGAATAAATTTGATGCTTGTTATACAAAATATCATTATATTAGTAAATCTATCGTCATATTATACCTAATTGGATTGATACCTATAAATCATATCAATTGTTTTAAATAAATACAATAGTTATAGTGTGTAACATTTATCAATAAAACTTTATGTAACTTGTTATGAGACATTAATATATAAGGAAGTTTAACCATCATTTTGAGTTAGAGCTACATCATAAAGAGTTTGTTGTACAACTTAGAACTTTAAAGTAAAATTTTCATAACATTAAGGCACTATATACAAAAGGAAGGAATAAAATTTATATATTGATGAATCTAATGTTATTGGTTATATAATTACTTGAACTAACACTATAAATTATAACTTTTCAAGAACTTAAAATGTTATTTAAACAATATTTTAAAAGGAAATAGTTATATAGATTTAAATGTAAATGATCATCATTTACAAAACCAATATTTGTAATAAAAGCTTTTATTGCAAGGAGTTAAGGCAGGTTTATGTTTCCTAGATATTGAAATAATGTACTTGTCTTTCATTTGAGTTTTATAGTTTATTCAATGTTGAATTTAGATCTCATGGACATCAATTTTATTTTCCTCTATTCGAATAATACAAGAAATTAGTAATTTAATAGAAAAAGTTTTACCATTTAAACAATACTCTAACATGAAATATTTTTATATTTAATTCAATAACTAGATATTTTGTAGTGTTATTCCTTCAGGACTTAGATGCCTTCAGCGTAACTTTCCTTGCAATCGTGGCACCGGAGTTTGTAAGTACAATTTCTTACTTTAACTTCCATGCTAGATATTGAAGTTATTAAAGAGAATGATTTATTACAATATTTTGATCATGGAAAGAAAATTAATTGATTTTAAGAAATATTAAGGCATAAATGGTTGATTGATTCTAAAAACTTTTTGTTGGTTATATTTTCTATTTTCATAAATAGTTGCCAATTACCACATTGTATTTACTTTGTTTACAAACTTCAAGTATGTGTAACATGAAATGGTGATAATTGTTAAAAATTGAGAATTTTAACAATTTATATGAAAATATTTTATGTTTATGTAATTTTTTACCCTTATAAAGTAAATTTACTTGTGTTAAGAAATAACTAGTTGTAAGCTAATGATGCTTACTTTTTCACATTAGTCATGATTATTTTTTGCTATGCTAAATTAAGGGAATTTATAGCTTTGGAATTTTTGATGTTTGTTATTACATCTTAATATGTGCATAACCAAAATGCATTATACAAGTTTTTTTCTCCTCTCTCCTTTTGTATGTATTGTTTTTATTTGGTACTATAATTATTTATGTTTGATTATATAACTTTTCGTTCATTGAAATTTACAACATACTATCAAGAGTTTCATTAATCTTGTAGGGTTTGTAAGGGTGAGAAAACAATACAATCTTTGTGAAAGAGAAAACCCACAAAAAATATGTTCAAAAAAACAAATGACATCAAGTTGTAATTTTTTACCACCACTTCTTATATTTGTGGTAGAAAACTAACATTTGTGAGTTGTCAAAAAATGGAAATATCTCAAAGTTTAAAGTTTATAAGATGTGGTTAAAAATGTAAGCACAACATCATTTACTAAATAATCCAAAAATAATTTAGATAACAATAAAAAAAAATTAACATGAAAGAATGTGATTTGAATTGCAAATTTAAAAACTTTTTCTAAAATTTTTTTCAACACAATTTAGAAAATATATAACTAGTAATAGAATTTGGAATAGATTGTCCAGTAAATAAACAAAGAGTAAAGAATAAAAGAAACTCATATAGATTTTTATACTAATTCACTTTTTATCTAGATCATCCACTCAAGGTATTGGATTGGTAAGTTATTGGTAGAATGAATAGGTCACTTGTTGAACTGCATCAATTGTTGTATATAATATAATACTATATATATATATATATATATATATATACATATATATAGACACACATAGATATTACTTAATTATATCACATATCAACTAAACAATTAAATTGGTATATTGGAAACTTGTAGTACCTAATAACCTTGGTGGAAGGGATTTAAGTCTCTATTGTGTTGTTATCCATTATATTTTATATTAAAATGATGTTAACAAAACAAGAGTTCTACACATGATTCATGATTAACTCCTCGACAAAACCTCGAGCCACACAAGTCTAATGCACCTCCTTGGGTAGCACTTATAAACACATACATTTAGCAATACCAGGGGTTTTGGGATATATGTTAACTAGGGGTAAAAGTATATATGGGTAACTCATGAATTTGAACTTACCTAGTGCCTTTGGATCAAAATTTTTTTAGTGTTCGGGTGAAACTCAACTCAACACTATTTTTTTAACAAGTTTTGTATTTTTGACTTATGACTCAAACCGATAATAATAATAATAATAATAATAATAATAATAATAATAATAATAATAATAATAAAATTAGTATTTGAATGTTCACTTACTCAAGACAATACTCATTGTCACTCTTACTTAGTAATGATTTTTTTGTTGTTGATAACATTATAGCAATATAACATATTTATAATAAATTTTATTTTCTATTAATGTTGGTTGTTTGAGTTAATAACAATATTACAAATTAAAAAATTTATTTTTCAATTTAGTTTTGAGGAGAAAAGATAAGCACCAGAAAAGGGGTTAAATAGTGTGTATCAAAAACTTGCACTTTTTGCGTAGTGAAGTAGTATCGCTAGTTAGATGGAGCGTAAAGAGAAATCAGATGGAACACTAGATATTTTTATATTGGCTTGTCTCAACCACAAAGACTACATCCAATTCTCAATCCAAATAGATTGAGATTCACTATATTTCAACAAAGATACAAGTAGTGATGGAAATGACTAGTAGAAGTGATTGTTGATCTTCTCCTAGTTCTATCTTCACGTCCAATCTTCTCTTGAGCTATAGAAAGTCACGAACAAGGTTTGAAACTCTTCAAGTTTGAAGGATGCAAATATGGATGGCGCGACACTCTTCTTGAAGAAGAAAAAGAAAAAGAAGTAAGAACCAAGGCACAAAGGAAGGAATCCTTTGTGAAGGTTCTTAAGGATAAGGTTTTCTCCTAGGTTTGGACCTTTGAAAGTAGAGATAATTTTTGAAAATTATAATCTCATTAACCTCAAAATTGTTTACAAAGTCAAGGAAAAGACTTATATAGTGAAGGAGAAGCTTGTGGTGCAAGCTAGACTAACTATGGTTCAAGGAGAACCATGGTTAGCCTTCTTACACTCAAGCTAACCGGTTTAGTTAGTTAGGAGGCTTGTAGAGAAAGCTTCTAACTTATAAGCTTGGGAAGCAAGCTAAGTTAGAAGCTTGTATCACAAGCTTCCCAAGTGTGTAGAAGAAGCTAAGTCAATTCGGCCAAGGAAGTGAGCTAGGCGGCCAAGGTGTTTTCCTTCATTTAGTCCAATCCAAAAATCTTGGAATTGGTTTAGTTAGGTTCACCAAATGATGGTGAGATCGAGATAAATCAATTCCTTGGAAAAAAAATAGAGGAAAACAAGCTCAATATGTAAAATTTAGCCTAGGCCCACTTCTGGCCCAATTACTAGTTACACCTACACACTTTACTATTTGTCACCCCACTTCTACAACTAAAAATATGAATATGAATGACCCTTAATACAAGGTCAAATGGAGCAAAAGTCTCCAAGTAAAATACCCTAAAATTTCAAAGGAATATCCTATAAGAAAAGAAAGAAAGTGCCTTACAAATACAAAGGCAAAAATAAACCTATACAAGAAACTACTATGTACAAATGAGTTAGGCCCAAATCTCAAGATGTGATGGCCCACATGAAGAGTAGCTTGGGCCTAGAAAGCCTACTATCCTCCAAGCTAGCCAATCCTTCCTGTATGCTCCTAGCTATAGCTCGAGTAATTGGGCCCTTGGCCCATGGTCTTCCATCAAGTAGTCTTTCAACAAGCCACTTTTGGCTCAACCCTAAATATTTTTTGATTTGCCTCTTCAAGCAACTACCCAAGTATTCTTTTCACAACAAGCCTTTCTAGGCTTAACAACCAAGTATTCTTTAAAAGTCATGCCTCTTTAATCTCAACAACCAAGTATTCTTTTATAGTTAAGCCTCTATAAACTCAGAATAAGTTTTCTTTTATAAACAAGTCTCTCTAAGCTCAAAACAAGTATTCTTTTATAGGCAATCCTCTCTAGGATTAAAATGAAAATTCTTTTATAGACAAGCCTCTCCAGGATCAACCTTATAAAAATGGTTATGAAGGTTACACAAATGTTTTGTTCGTCTTATTTAGACATTATACAACCAAAATAGACCAATAAGCTTTTGCAAGAAAGAATAAGGATTATACATAAGTATAATTTACAGAGTGTATGTTTCTATACAAGTCTCTTTTATATGTTGTTTCTTTTTTCTTGTGTCATATCTCTTGTTCCATTTTTTCTTGAGCTTTGAATCTTTTCATATAGTAGCTTGGAGAAGATGATTGTTGTAACACTTTGAGTCCAACTCATTAGTTTGTTTCACCTATCTTCACTATATTTTCTTGCGATGACAAGTAAACATTGACTTATTTAATGTAAGCATTAAATAAATTTCACCAAATAATACCTCTTATTTGATCAAGGAAGCTACTTATCATCTTTCCATACCAAACGAAGCTTGCAAAAGCAATGTCAGCATAGTGTAGTTGTACGTAAAAGTAACTTTATCGGCTTTTCTTCTTGATTTCAAGGATCTTCGTCCTTGGTCTTGATGAAAAGCATGATCATTTTATTTTTAACAAATTTGTGAGTTTTGAGATGGTTTTCTAGTTTGATCTGTTAAGGAATGAAGCATTCAAAATAAATTTTGTCATTAGTCTCAATAAATAATGAACATTTAATATATATGAGACAAATTATATATTTCATCTAATTCACATCATCTTATAGACAATTTGTGTCTTACACATTGTTCGATAAACATTTTTTAAAGACATTTTCTCTTGTAAAAATATTTTGTTTTTTATCATTAAAACCTCAAACTTGAGGAATTCAAGATTGTCTTTTAACTTAACAATCTCCCTTTGTTTGACAGTGGCAAAAACGTTTTTGAATTTTTGAAATGTCTACTTTATTTTATCTCAGAAAATATTTTTTCTTTGGTAAGATGATTTTGTTTTTTACTTTTTAAAATGTTTTCATCTTTCAAAACATATTTCTTAAAGCATTTTGGTTTTTTAACTTTTGAAAAGCTTTTTCAATTTTGGTTAAGAAATTTTTCTTGAACACGTATAAGCAATTTGGAATCGTTTTTATCAAAGTGATGTATGGCACACGCCTAAGATGCAATAAGATCATTTAAGGGAATTGATTTTTATGAGTATACTCTTTAAAGACATGTATTGTCTCGCACTTACTTAGTTATATCATCATTTAAAATAGAGTGAGACAGACTAAGCAATCATAATAAAGCAACTTAGAATGATATTCAATTTTAATTCTTAGAGCATGTCAGACTAAGTGTGCATATAGATCATATAAGTTTTAGTCTTACTCTATCAAAGAAGAGCATACAAATATATTTTATATAAGGCATATCATGGTTGTTTTATTTCTTTCTTATCATGCATATTAGAGCATATTTTTCTACCTTAGGTATCAAAGCATATATAATTAGACCATTTATATCTACCTTAGGTGCTATATGCAATGAATAAGGGACTCCTCTTAAAAACATGCATGATCTGATGAATATAACTTGCATAAATCGTGACAT